GGTGAGCAGTTAGGAGCCAGCGGTCCTGGATCGTGAGAGCGATGTCTGACTGCCGATTTTTGGCAGTCAGACATCCCCCGAGGGGTCCTGGATTGGAGAGGGTGCAGGCCGGGCTGAAGGACTCCCCCTTCCCATGCACGAATTTCATGCACTGAGCCTCTAGTGTGGAATATAATGAACAACATAAACTGATGAATAAAAATAGAACCAGAGTCATAGAAGCATGGAACAGACTGTCCAACCTATGAGAGAAGGTGGGGGAGGGCGATGAGGGGGTAAGAGATCAACCAAAGGACTTGTATGCATGCATATGAGCACAACCATTGGACACAGACAGTAGGGGGGTGAAGGCATGTGCTAGAAGGTGGGGACGGCCAGGCAGAGGTCAATGGGGGGAAAAGGAGACATGTAATACTTTAAACAATAAAGAATTAAAAAAAACACACCAAAATAAAATAAACCCACAAAATTCTTTGTAACTTGCATTTTTTTGGATAACTGAAGTTTTCATACATTTCAAACATGTATTGGCTATTAAATTTCTCCTTTGTGAATTATCTATTCCTGCGTTGCCCATTTCTCTATTGGAGTTAATGCTTTTCTTGACTTATTCATTAAGGACATTAACTTTTGTCTGCCTATTTTTGCAAATATTTTCCTTACTGTGTCATTTTATTTTTAAATAGTTTATTTGATAAACTATTTTATTTCACAAACTTATTTTCTTCCTTTGCAATTTCCTCCACTGTTTTTATGCTTAATGTTTATTCTTGCCCTAAGTTTGATAAACTTCACCATTTTTTAAAAATTCTGGTTTTGGCCATGACCGGTTTGGCTCAGTGGATAGAGCGTCGGTCTGCAGACTGAAGGGTCCCAGGTTCGATTCCGGTCAAGGGCATGTACCTTGGTTGCGGGCACATCCCCAGTGGAGGGTGTGCAGGAGGCAGCTGATCAATGTTTCTCATTGATGTTTCTAGCTCTCTATCCCTCTCTCTTCCTCTCAGTAAAAAAAATCAATAAAATATATTTTTAAAAAATTTCTGGTTTTGGAGTTTTGTTTTTCTTCTGGTGTAGATGTTAAGTGAAGACAGAACTTCACTAGTCCCGATAGTTGGCCTGCGGTCCCTACTGCCACCTGTAACTTATGTACCCTTCCTCCCAGGCCGCTGGAGCCGCCCCCTGGCAGCCCTCCTCCCCCATCTCCAGCCTCACCGAGAGGCCCCCGTAGGGGTCTGTGAGCAGCAGGCCAGGCCACTGCTGGGGGAGGAGTGGACCCTGGAAAAACCTCTGGGGGTGACACCCAGCTTCTCCAAGTCCAGTCCTACGTCCCTCCTCCTGCCACGCAGGATTCTCCTCGCCCGGAGCCATCACTCAGGTTCCAGGCTGCGCCTGTGTCTGGGCGGCCCTGAGCTCCTCTTTCCGTCACTAAGACGCAGGTGCCCACCTGAGGCCCCTGCTGCCGGCGATGACAACTAAGAGAAAAGAACCAGGCGCTGAGCACAGCAGCACGAGGCTGGACGACATGGGTCTGAAAACAGGTCAGGGTGAAAGTCACCGACACTGATGGCAGAAGAAACACACCTACGTACGCAGGCAACTCGTTACACTTTGGACAGAACGTCCCCTCTCAGGAGATCGGGAACCAGAGCACACACGTAAGTTTGCTGTAACATGAAATATGAACTGGGAAAATACCAAAACGCCTTTACCTTTTAACGCGCTGTCATTGGCACCAAAGAAAATTGTAACTGCTACTGGGCTGTCCAAAATGTTCCCTTTCCTGATGAGCCTGGGAAGGATAATTTTGGCCCATCTGGTATTATAGCCTGAAAATCCACGGTTCAGAACATCACATTTTCTGAAATGAAAAATTAAAAAACTTTTAAAGATGAATTTCAGACAAGGCTGTTTCAGTCCCACAACCAACCGGCTGTGAGGGCGGGTGAGCGAGCGCTCCAGGCTGGCGGGGCCTGCTCTGCCTGCCCTCGGTCCTCTCTGACGTGAGCAACAGCACAGAGCGCTGGCCCGAGTCGCGCCATCAGAGGCACGTGGTCACACCCTCAGTGAGAGTGATGGGTAATTGCCTCGAGGGGCTGAGTTAGTCTGCAGACCGCTGGTTTCAAGCATGGCACAGGGCGCTTTTAAAATGGAGTTGACAGCAGACAGGTATTAACCTGAGCAAGTATCATAGGTAGAAAGTCTCTAAGAAGTTGGTCTTTTCTTGTAATTACTCTGAATTCTGAAAAATAACAAGCTTCTAATTAAGTGGTCGTCTAACACTCACACCTGTAAACTATCCATTGAGATTTTACTGCTAAAATTAACTATTTACAAAACATATGTGGTGAAACAT